GTAACGAATACAGCTTCAAACAGGAAAAGTCTGAGTTTCTTGAAATTCTGTAATCTTTCTGGTGCTACTATAACAGCTTCTTAAGGGAATCCAGACTAGAAGGGAAGGGTAGCATCTCTGTTACCATGGGGACCTTCTGAAAGAACCATCACATAGGACAATGACCAAACGAAAGAAACTATTTTTTTTTTTACTGGCTGTTGCCTCAGGAGGCTAGATCAAGAACATCAGCTCTATCTACCATTGCCACAGCCCTGCCAATTATTCTTTTCTTCCCACTTGCAGCTTAGAGCCTGCACCAGACTCAAAGCCTTACCAACAATCTCAAACTATTTAGTTCTATGTATTCCGTATCTACAATACAGTAGCACAAATAGGAAACATTTTTAAGAAACAGCAATGAAACTGACAAAAGCCAAGAGGAGAAGCAGACACCTTCCTAACTCTCCCACACAAGCTTCCATCCAAGAGCCCTTCCAAAGGGAAGGGGATTAAAGATCCTAAACAAGAAAGAGAATGTGTCCCTTCCTCTGAATTTGAGGACGCTTCAACAGAAATTTGATTCCTATTCCAATGTGTTCTAGAAGCACATTGGAATACAGAGCTACAGGAAAGAATATTTGTAAGGATCAGGAATATCAGGACTGTAATATTTTATTTTAAAAATAATATTCATGACCTCCAGAGCAGCTTGCATGGGGTTTTGGTTTTTTTGTAAAGCTCACTGGGGCTTTTCTCTTTTCTTTTTCTTTCTTTCTTGTTTTGTTTTTTGTTCTGTTTTGTTTTGTAGCCTGTCTTCTCTGGCTAATCTTAACCAGGCTCACACAGATAAAACATCTACCCACGTTTAAGAAGGAAAAGCCTGAGGCTCAGCAGATCTACTGCCTCTCCTGAGGTTTCTGTGCATAACGGTGAAGAAAAAAAAGCACACACGGTGGCTTTAACTTTCTTTCTTACTAATGCCTACCACTCTACGATGCACAAGAGCGGAGGAGGATATGTAAAGGGAACAGAGAGGTCTGAAGGGCATTAAGACGTGGGTGATCAATTAATGAGTGAGAGTTACTGCCCATGGAGCTCAGCCCAGAGAAACAGCATCAAACAGACTGAGAAAGACAGCAGCAAACACCTGGATTCTGGCAGCCTACCACAGAGCATTTGCTAACTTCTGATTTTAGTTTAAAACCATGTGGGACATGGCACAACAAAAGCATTCCATCCACCTCTAGTAAGCACTTGATACCTCTTGAAGAAGTTTTGTAACAAAGGACACATTTGGTTGCAAGGAACTCTGCAAAAAATGATTACTGGTAAAGACCTTGGGTAGCACTTACCCCAGAGATCAGGGCTCAAAAGGGTTAGATTACTTACTTCTAGTAGCACAGTGGTCAGCAGTGTGTAGATGAAAGGAGAAACTAACTCGTTTTACGTAAGACAAATGTGCCTATCATCATACCCTAGCTCTCAGGCTGGACCATTGAACCACATCCTCATCCTTGACCTCTTTCTCCCCCTTGGCAATACTGGCTCTTGAGTCTATGGCCTCTTACTTGCTAGGGAAGTGCTTCCACTAAGCTTATTTCCAATCATTTGTGTATGTATGCATGCATGTATGTATGTATTTATACTAGGTCTTGCTATCTTGATCACACTAGCTTATATTTGACGCTGTGGCCCAATCAAGCCTCAAACTTACACCTTTGCTTCCTGAGTCTTCCTAAGTAGCTAAGGTTATATAAGCAGGTCCGTGCCACCAAGCTCACCTACTAATAAATTTTTTTTAAAGGAAAGGTTTTTTATTCCTCATCACTAAACCTTTACTAGTATATTTCCTGAGAATCAGAGACAAAGTGTAGATTGTTTGATGCTCACTCATCAATTCATTATTAAAAAGAATTTCTATGTGCCGGACTTGAACATATACTGATATATCTTACAAGTACGAAATTTAAGCAATTTTATCCACTATATTACTTTATATGTAATCATAAGTTATATAGCCATTTGTATGAAAGGCCATACTTAAGAGGCATCATCACAAGAATACATACTATATACTGAAACTTTGGGTAGTCTAAGTTACATACTTATTGCAAGGAACAAAGAAATTGACTTCTATACCTGCTGTGAGCCAAACATAACCATAACATATCTTCTCTGTAATAACAGAAAGCCATAACTCAGATTTGAAATGTTTTTAAAGACTTTGCAATCTAAGCAGCTCCGAATACTGCTCACCATGGTGAGAAATGAAAGTCCACGCGTAAGTATCCTAGCAAAATTTTCATCACACACCCGCCTAACAGATGGGTTCTCAAAAACAACCAAGCATTCTGCAAGCCAAATGCTCAAAACTTAGTAATAAACAATGATTAACATTCTTGAGTATGTGATATTGCATAAATGAGAACCTCAGCAACAATTTGGGGCAGAAGCTCTCGCTTTTTGCTCTCACCTCCCACCTCCCTTTCCCAAACAGGCACACCCTCTCACCTCCCTACCCCGCACTGCATCCCAAACCTTGGTGTCTGCAGCAAGCTCAAAACACTTGACTGATCATATCCGGTTGCCATTCCAGGAAATCCCAGAGTGGTTTTTAAGCCTCTGCCCACAGCTTGTAAAGAAAGGCGAGAGAAAAACTAATCGATATCAGCACCCAGCTGTGACCTGGCACATAAGGAAATCTGGAAAATAAATGTCATCCATAATCTGTATCATTTAACACTTGCAAGAAAACAACCTCTGGGATTGACTCTAAGCTGGACAGTGTTGCTTGGATAGATCCGAGATTCCTGCACCAGGTGTCAAGACTGGCTAGGAGGCAATGCCCTCTGGTTCCTCATCACACAGACAAGGAAATGCCTTTTCCCTTGCAGGGGTTATCTGATCCCCCAAAAGGAGGAGGGAACGGAGAGGAAAACAACCTCTACCTACACCACTCTGGGATAGCCCTTTGGCAAGGGCTCACCTTAGACTTAGAAGCTGGAAACCTTTTTCAAAGGTGGGCACGCGACAAACTATTGTCTTGCTAACCAGTCACAGCCCAGAAAGGAAGCTCATGTAAAATATGACTTTGTTTAATCAGAGAGTCCCTTCAGTAAATAAAGTCCGATCCCTAGGCAAAGTAGGAGAGGTAAAATCTCCTGTGATTAGGATTCTCTTGAAAGGTTTTCCAGATTTTTTAAATTACAGGAGAATGAAGTCAGAACATAAATACGTCTCTGTATCATATAAATTACTAGGTCGGTCCACAATAAAAACAAGAACGCCAATCGGCAGGACGGGGCATTATAGGAAATGAAGATTGTCAGTAAAATCTATAATGCTTTCTTTCTGTTAGACCTTCTGGGAGGTTATAATTGCATTTGGCCAATTCAGGCTTGTCAGTGAGCCTGGCTTCTTAATAGTCTCAACCCTAAAAGGAGTGACTGTGGGGGGGGGGGGGGGGGGGCACCCAGCTGAAATCAAACAACAAAAACGGGAACTGTAATCCTACCGAAAAGGGAGGAGGGAAAGGAAGGGAGCCTCCTATATTCATCAGTCAACATTAATGTCCTTTGTTGTTCACCTTTGCACAGAACAGTGAATGCTATCCTGTTCCTTTTTTCTCTCAAATCAGTGCCAGGGTAGTCCTCTCCTAAAGCTGCTCCCCAACCTCTAAAAGCCAGGCTTTCTGACCCTCCTCTCCCTCGTCACTTTCCAGCCGGCCTCTATGACCCCCACTGCGCTCATCCCTTGGTAGAGAAGGTGGCCAGAAGTAAAAACGCTGCCAAAATCTCGGTTCCCATCCAAGGACCAAAGAGCGCAGCAGCACAGATGTTGAAATTTACCACCCTCCTTTTCGCAACACACACCCCAAACACCCGGGAGGCGAGGGAGGAAGGAGGCTACGTCCCGACTCCGTCTGTCACAGGGACCACGGGTGCTACATTCTGCACTCTGGGAATGCCGACCCCAGCCGCAGGGACTTCGCGCCTCCCTACTGTTTGGGAGTATTCTAGCTGCCGGTTCCAGGTCTCCCTCAACACCCCGGGAAATCTTAGCAGCGCACTGCCAGCTCTCTGCCGCTGTGGGCCAGCAGGGGTAGAAGGGAGAGAAACCCTGTTGGCTTCCCCTTCCAACTTGACACGCAACACGCCCCGCGGCCGCTCCAAACTCCTCCAGCAGAGCCCGGAGCGACTGTCCGGACGTTCCGGGATCGGGTTCAAGGAGTGCAGGGTGCGCGGTGAGGAGCGAAACCCCCAGCGAGCGCCCCTCAGCTGGAGGCCGGTGCGGCCAAGCCCGGGACCCGCTGTGCAATGCCAAGACCTGGCATTTGCAGCCTGGCGCGGAGCGAGCTGCGTGGGGGCAAGGATCGGAGCGTGGTAAAAGTTCGCCCGCGAGCACTTACCCACACCGTATTTCTCGTGCTCCGTAGGTATCCACATGGCTATAAAGGGCGCTGAGGGGCTCCGGGCTATGCAATCCCCGCGCCCCTCCAGTGGCTCACAACAATGCACGGCTCCCGAAGAGCAGCTGCGGCGCTGAAGCGCAGCGGATCGCGCGGGCTGCAGTGCTGGGTAGGGGCTGCTCCCGGAGCTCTTGAGCGGGCACTGACACTACACCGCCGAGGCGGAGCCGCCCGCCGCTCTGCCGGCCGCGGCTGCTCACAGCCCTGCGACGCGCTCGCGGGGACCTGGCGGCGCAGTCATTGTTCTGATTCACTGAACTAAGCGAACACGCCGGGGCACTCGCGGGCGCACCCCCGCCCGTCAGCGCCCATCCAGCGCTACCTCCCCACTGCCTCGCGGCATGCTGGGAGTTGTAGTTCTTACGCTCCCGGCTCCGGAAGAGGGCGTGGCTACAGCAGTTAGGGGCGGGGAAACTAGTTAGGCTCGCCGCATTCGATTGGTCCAAAATGTGACGGCCCAGCATAGGCGTGTAGAAACTCCCTCAGTTGGGTCGGCATGCGAACCCAGGCGTGTTTTTATTGGTATATCCCGCTCCGCCCCGCCTACAGCCCGCCCCTTTCCACTGGGCCAGGTAATGGCTGCTACAGAGGCTCAGGGGCTTGGTGTGGACCCCCGGGAGGATGAGGTCTGCGGGATCCGCGGCGTCCGTGGCGAAACTGGGCACATGGATCATGAAGGTGAGTGCGCTGTCCCTTGGGTGCGAGTGATCTGTCTTCCGTTTTCTGTGCCCGGGGTTCATCTGCCTGCCGCTCAGACCTTAGAAGGTGGTCAGCTAGAAGACCACCTTGGTGCCAGGCAAAAAGCCGTGGGCGAAACCCAAAGAGATGGGATGGGGCAGACGGCGTTTGCCAGGCTGAGGCTGTTTTGGGTGGGAGGAGAAAATGTGAAGAACTGCCTTCTCGGCCTCTGAGAAAGCTCCTTTTGCTATCTTCCGGTTTGGAATTCTGTGCTTTGCACTTGCCGCCAAGTGGGTGTGGGTCAGGTCTGGGTCGCACGAGTGTAATTGTAATGCTGTGATTAGCCGCTATTTCCTGACTAGGATCCTTCGCTTTCCTCGGTTTGCTGAATTTGGCTTTGGGAAGGTGTTTTATGTAGTTTGGGACGGGTTTCCAAGTTGGAGACTAGTCACGTCACGGCTCTCCAATACTTACTTGCGGGTTGCTCATTAGAGTCCTCTCCAAAGGGAAAGAATGTGTGTCTCAGGTATCATTTGGCCCTGGAGCCTGGGAGTTCTTACATCCTAAGTTCTAAGAGAATGAGAAAAGAAAATGAAATGCACTCTAGCCTTCACAGAATATTTAAAAGAGGGTTTTGAAATCCATCACAGCTACGTTGTATCTACCCGACTTTGGTGTTTTCTTCAGTTCTACTTTAGAGATCAAAAATCAAACTTTCATAGACTGCCTTTTCTTTTGGTCGCGCTCCAGTCCCCACCCATTTTGTTTAAGTGTATGATTTAGCACACCAAGTTCTTTTATGTAAGTGGATATGATTGGGGGTTAATTTGGGTTCTCAGTCCTTGTTGATTTTTTTTTTTTTTTACTTTAACCTTCACAGCTTTTAGTACGAAGTTTTTATCTCAGTAGCAGAGAAATGAAATGAAATTTCTTCCCACTTCCCATGAGTGAAATTCCTATCATCTAAGCAGCCTATCAGTGGGTTTGCCATATATCCCATACTTATATAACAGACTGTTATGGTTTTCCAGATTACTAAAGTCCCACAGAGCTACCATTTTAAAATATAAAGTTGGAAGCTCTAATAACTTTTTCTCACAGATTAATTTATTTGAAAACTTGCAAATACCACCAAAGCATAATTAATTACCTTAAAATTACAATTCGTTATAAATATTTCAAGCGGTTCATTCAGAGGTATTTAGATTAAAAAAAAGAGTAACGTCTTTCCACTACACAGTTCCACTTATAAAGACAAAAGTGGATATTTTAAAATATATTCCTTTATAATATACATTGTATACCTCATTTTTAAATAAAAGAGATAATTCTAGCAAAGTCAAAGATCTACAGCTTTCTTCCTCTTGTTTATCAAAGATACTTCTATATTGACATTTTTGTTACATTAATTAGTGATTACACTCATGTCCCATAGAACAAATATTCCATCCTCTAGCCAGTCCCCTGTTAATACATGTATAAAGTCACTCTGATTTTCAATAGTGTTACAGAGAATAGGTTTATGTATATGTACAATATAATATATATTATATAGTTGGATAGATGGATCGTTGCCCAGTAGAGTATTAAGTTTGTGTAAATTTTACATAGATGCCAGTGTCCCCTCTTAAAAGTATTCATCATGAATATTCCCCAATAATAACCAAGTGTCCTTTACCCAATATTTTCAAAAAGTATAAGGAAATTATTAATCCAGGACCACTGTTGAAATATGGTAAGACTGAAGTAGGTGGCTAATGAAAACTTAATTTTAGGCTCCAAATTATCTTCAACAAAAGCATTGAGCAGCAGTGAATTTTCAATGGTTGTCACAGAAGCATCTCTTTCCTTACTTCAGAGCTGCTAGTATTATCATTGATTTAGACCAGTCACTGAGAGAGCTTCATGATTGATTCTTATGTCATTTTTAGTAAGTAAGTAAGTGAATTCATCATTTAAAAGTCTCCTTTAATAACATCATTCTATGACTTTATCAGAATTCTTTTCAAACCCTGCAAAATGGGACACACATTTTAGGTGGGAATAATTGCATTAGGAGTATATTTCTTCTTAGCCAGGCGCTTAAGTTATCCAGGATGTCTTTCTCTGTAAAATCACACACCTCTTTAATTTCTGGAGAACTGCTGCTTTTTAGAGGTTTCCTCTAATTCTAATTAAAATGTTAGTCTGTGTGCTTAATATCCTGAGACAAAAGGGCCTGAGGAGCCGTTTACTAGAGATCGTAGTAGCAGTTCTATAAAATCTCTGCTGGAAGGAGTCACTAGGTGGAGTGCAGGCATATATAGCTCCCTGGCTGAGACTGCTATGTTTCCCGAGGTTTCTTTAGTCTGTTCCTCCCCACGTCTCTACCTTGGTTGATTCATAGCAAAATTGTCTTCTGAGAAAAATCAAAACATCTATTTGTGGACAGTACAGATAAAGAAAGAGACGGCACCAAGCATGCAACTATCTTCCTTGTGCGTTCCCCAGTGTACAAGAACCCTTGGGTGTTATGAGAAGGGCCTGGGACTCAGCTAAGAGCTATGGGTGTCTGCTGAGGCTCATGTGGAGAGGAAATTAAATGACAGGGTCAGGCCAAGACTTATCCCTGTTTCCTGTTCATTTGAACAGAAACTAGTGTTTTGTATTATTTCCTAAAATTAAAAACAAAAAAATAGGGTTTGGGTAGATAGATGGCTTAGTGACTAAAAGCACTTGCTATGCAAACAAGAGAGCCTGGGTTCAAATCCCCAGTACTTACATAAAAGCCAAGCATGGCCCCTTGTGCCTGAAATCCTAGCTTTGTGAGCTGGAAACAGATGGATCCCAGCTGCTCTTTGCCCAGACTATAGAGTGAAAACACTGAGCTTCAGGTTCAGTGAGAGGCTGAGGCGAATAAGATGGAGCATGAAAGGGGAAAAACCCTGATGCCCTCCTCTGGGCTTCCCTTTCAAGTATACGGGTGTGCAACACACACACCAGATCAGACCACTATATGTTTCTATTTATTCTAATGCAGGTTTTAATAAGAAATTAATTAGATCATAATCTATAGCTCGGTAATTGAAACTTACAGGGGGATTTTGTGACTAGGTTTATTTCTTAGGATGATATTTACACTTGGTTGTCTTCTCCAAATGAATAGTAGGTGATGATGATAGTGTTTGAATTTATGGTGCTTGTCCTTCAGAGACCTTATTAATTTCATTGTTATGTCTGTGGAGAGTAGCAAGTGAAAACTCCTTGCTCATAGTCCAATAAATAGCATCAAGTCTAAGCTAGAAACCTAGGGAGCATCGTTGGGTTCGTTCTTGCCCACAGGCCCTAAATTTGATCAGTTACCAAGTCCTCCTTCTCTGTTCCACAGCAATGGAATATGCCCTGTGTTCCCCTCTGTAACCACTCTTCTCATTCTGTTTCCAACACTGAGCATCACTGCTGATTACATATCACTGTCTTGCGCCTCCTAGTCTGGGCTCCAGAAAGAAAACCAAGACCTTGTTGGACTTGTTTTGTCTGCTTGATCCTGGCACAGTGTTAATATTTAATAAATGCTTGACCTAAACAGTATTCTAGCCTTCCCAGTCAGAAAACTTTCTTCTTGACCTCTCAGACATTTAACTTTACCTGTTTTAATCTATTGAAAACAAATCTATTTGGGGAATCTGAACTGGAAATCTTCACTATAACTCTTTGCATGCCTAAGTAGGTCCAGCCTCTCTAGGTAACATTTATTCTGCTTTTTAGGCTCATCTTCTTTCAGCCCTCTTCCATGTTCATGTCTTCATTAGCTGCTTCTCTTGTCTTCTCTAGTTACTTGTTAGCATCTGCGCTTACTAAAGCCAAGCCTTCTTTACTTTATCTCTGTCAACTGTCAGAGCTCCACGCAATAAGGGGTAGCAGTTTAAACACTGAGAATATTTTTGAAGCTTATTCAAAGTGTTTAGCATGGCTGAGACTTTAAGCAGAAGAACTGAAGTGGAATAAAAAAAAAAAGAAAACAAATGAGGAAATGACTTGTTTGTGAAAGGTATGCATACCAACTAGAAATGCAAGTATCATCAGAAGGCATTTTGTCAGGACTAATCATGGTGTTTGCATTTTATGTTGTTTTTCTGCCCTTTTAAAAAATGATCTTCTAGTATTATTTAGATAAGGATTATGTTTTCAGAGTGTACTTTAGGTCTGGCCTTTAAATCTGGATTCTGTAAATGACTGACCTGCCACGTGATCCTTGAACCCCACCTTCCATCGTCTGTATGCCTGGTAGCCAATTTCCTTCAGGCTGGCTTCTAGTCTCTCATACTTGACATGGCTATGGCAAGGGGATTAGACTCTCTTTGAGAAAAGCTGTGTTTCAGTTTTAATTCTGGTCTTGAATAGCTATTTAACCGAGAGGTGTGCTGCACATTAGTGAAAATATACACAGACACCAGCCTTGCAAAATTCCTGATTATTTCACTGAGTTACATGTCTATGAAAGACCAGTAGACAGTTGTTCTATAAAGATAGGTTTTGGATAATATCAGTTGTTCTCATTATGACGGGACACCTAACTGAACAATAAAGCTCTCTGGCCTCTGGTATATAGGTAAGAGGCAATAAGTTGTAGTGAAACCCTGGGGAAGTTTAGAAACACTCCCATAACTGTTGATGCCTGCAATATCCTCCTGGAATGTGGGGGCTGTCACAGTACCTGTCAGAGCTCTATGCTCAAATTGTAACTTATGTGTCCCGAAAGCCCTTTACATAATCTTCTATACTGTTTCCACCCGAAACAGCTCTGTCCCTTTGTGGCCTTGTGAGTTAGAGACCTGAGGGTGTCATGGGAGAGAACAATCACCGAAACAAGGTCGTGGTATATCTTGCTCGATACCAGGACCTTCTCTGAGCATCTTTTTTATTTTTCTGAAATACATGGAACCTAACATGACTTCCTAGAGGAACCATTATAAAAAAGGCTATTATAATAATGGAAGTGGTGATGACGGCTGACATTT